CTACCTCCTCTCTCTCTCTCTCTCTCTCTCTCTCTCTCTCCTTTTTTTGTGACACAAGCTACTACGTACAATGAATGCGAGTAAGAGGAAGAGACAGAAAGAAGAAGAGCGACAAGAATAACGAGGAAGGAAGCGAGATACTACTGGTCCACGCTGTCCCGACGAATGAGTTAACGGACAATGGCGGTCCACGTTGAAAAAATAAAGGAAAGAGCGACGTTGAACGAAGGGAGGGGGCCCTCATTACGAAGGGCGCCCCCGGTGTGTTTGTCGATAAGGGGGCCTATATGCAAATGGCCGTCCGTCGTCGGGCGCGGCGGAAAGAAAAAGTTTCCCTCTCTCGCCTGCTGCCTCTCTCCATCTCTTTCTCTCTATCTGTTCCGATGCCACTTCTCCCGGTGCAGGAATAATGCCCTCCGACAGTACGCTAAAGCACGGACGGAGGGGAAGGCGGGGAGGATAGGGAGGGTATAATGTATCGTAATCAGATGATCAATTATTAAGAGCGCGGCAAAAAAACAACGAGGGTTGACGTACGAGCGACAGGACAGGAACGTATCCGGATGCGAGGGGTCTTCGTCCTTTTCTGCCTTCGCGATTCATCTTGGGATCTCTACGAAGTGACTGACACTCGATATGCATTTTAAGGTTTCATTAGAGCGAATCGCGAGTTCACATGTTGTTATATCGCGAGGAGTACGTCATCCAAATTTAAATTATGCATATACATTGCTTGTGTGTACTAAAACTATGTGACGGAGAAGCATTTACTGGATTGTAAAAAAATATTTATGACATTAAGTAACTAGAATCTTAAACACAATATTTTTAAAATGTCACTTTTGAAAATAAGAACTATTTCGATATAACTTTAAAACGTAACATTTTTTTCTAGTCATCACATCAGATCAACATCATTGGTTTTATGTAACAAATTCCATGTTTTTCACTTTGTAGACAAGAATTTCGACATTAGTGGAGTAGATTATTCAAAATTTATGTAATTATAATGGCGTATATTATTGGAATAAAATTTAAATAATTTTATGATAAATTTAAAATAAATAAATTCTAAGGAGTTAAATGTTTGTTACGCGAAAAGGATGGAGAGACTATCTAACAATTTTACATAATAAACATATCGCCTTCTTCGGGCTTGGTTTTTCCTCTAGCTTAATCTAACCGAATTTATTTTACACAAATGTTTGTCGAGCATCAGAAAAATGCATCGATATCGAATTACTGATCTATAATGGATATAGACCCAGCTGCGTTCACGCGTATGATCGAAGGTAAACATTCATTATGCGTGACCTAAAATTTCCGTTATCTACTACCATATGATAATGAAGAGAAATAAAGACTGCTTTTAATTGCATATCACGTATCAGTAATCTATATTAATTTTTTTAATAACAAATAATATGAAAACATATATATATATATATATATTATAAGTTATAAAAATATCACGTTTAATAAATATTTTAAAATATTTTTAATTCAATTAAACAGTGTATTTATTAATTCTATTTCTGATATAAATTTTATAATATAAATATATATATGTCTTTTTTATAAAATG